TTAAGTGGTGCTTAGCGGTGCCTATCGGCATCGTCCGTCCTTGCTTTAGCCAGCTCTTTTTAAATTTAATTATTAACTTAAGTGAAGTTAATTTGTTAAGAAAGGCTATATTTAAGAGTAAAAAAGGTACTTTAAGGTATTTAAAATATGAGTTTATATATTTAGCTAGCGTTTTTATGCTAGCCAAATCTGGATTTCCCATAAAAAATCATCGTTTTTATCCACCCAGGGAGGGTGGAATTCGTCATGCCGGTCTCCGTCGTCCCAAGGGTCTTGATGTTTCATTGCTTTCAAAATAGGTCTAGACCAATCTTTTGGGCGAGACAAACTTTCGATTTTGGCATTGCAACTTTCGTGCGGATGGTTTGCACAGTATTGGCTCGGCGCCGCAGCATTGGCCCCGGGTCAGTGACAGGTGCATCACTCCCGAGGTCACTTGCTCATCCACACGCTCGCAGGATCCTGACTCGGTCGCACCCGAGGAGGGATCTTGGCAACTCTATTCTCAAGACCAAGGAGAGCTGCTGTCCGCAGCAGGGCATCAGTGTCAACTCATCTTTGGGGATGCTGCGCGACTGCTGCTAGAGTGATCAACCGACACGCAAGGCGTTGACATGGTGGCGGCGGTAGCCTCGAGACAGGCCGAAGTGGTTTTATGCTGCTCGCGTGTTCCAAACATAGAGCAAGTCGATGTCCCTAGAGAGAGTAACGAGATCTGGCCAAGCCCCGCGCGGGGATCTTGGGACATCCCGTCGCGCGCAGGCACCAGACCTACGTGCGGCAAGGGGCTTTGCGTGCGAGTGAGCACCTGATGAGCATGCCTTGCTGATAGCCAGGCTGGCTTTAATCGGTGCACGTAGTGGCTCGGGTCCCATTTACCAACACGGGCGCTTATTTGGCTGGCTCAGTCTACATGACCTGGTGGCGTGTGCGAGTCCCATTTAGTTTGCCTCGGCCGTGCATGCTCGGAAGAGGCCCTTAGATGAATTACGCAGAAGCTGAAGAGCAGATGCGAATTAGAGGGTGTCCCGAGGGGCGGAGGATGACGGTGAGAATGGACTAGGTCGCGGGCTACGGCACGACCTGCAGAGAGATGCAGTAGCCGCCTCACTGGCATCATGCATGCTGTACCCGGGAGAGGAGCTGGCCATACACGCTGCCCGTGGTGGCGAACTAGCATGGATGATGTGGTGGCCGGCCGTTTTAGCTGCCGTTGGGCCAAAGAAAAGTGGTGTCGAGCACCTCCAAGAAGGGCCTCCTGGAGTGGCAGCAGACATGACATCGAGGGTGGTCATGGTGTCTGGGGCATGGACATCGGCCAAGCAACGGCAGATCCAGCTGCAATTGCTTCTTCCTTGGTGGATGTCTTCCACCAGGGAAGAATGGGCTGGGAGAACGGGGCACTGTGCCGCTCTGCTTTTGGGCCTCGGTGCTTGTGTACCGGTAGTAGTACAAAAGACTGGCTCAATGGTCATCTAGTGCCTAGGATGCCCCAGGAGTCGATCGAGGAAGCCAGGGATGAGGAAAAAGTATGGTCGACATGTGGCAGGTGGAATCCACGCGAGACGCGAATGGCATTCGTCCCGAAGTGGATTTTCCGGGGCTGCATATCTCAAGCAGATCCAAGTGCCTTGTGCGACGGGGTCATGCAAGCGTGGTGTCTTTTTGTCTCTGGGTCAGCCAACGGTGGCTTGATCTGTGAGACTAGTCAGTGTTTCTGAGTCTGAGCAGCCTTGACAGTGTCCGGAATCCCAGATAAGACGGGAGGCACAGTCGCGGTTGGCAAGCATTGGCAATGGCGTTCACCATTAACCGACAAAGACTGGCCCTGGAGCCGGTGGCAGGCCATTGGCCTTCTGCTGCTGTGGGAGGGGTGTTAGCATGAGGCGATCCCATATCTAGGACAAAGGACGCTTCAGTGTGTGGGCCTGAGGAACGGTAGACTAGACCGAGGGTGAGAGAGGCCATGGAAATGCCACTCGCTTGAGACACGAGGACTCAACCGTGCCAGTCGTGTCTTGCCTGCCGATTAGCCGTAGTACCGTAGCCGTGTCCGTATGCAGCGGCAGTCAGTCTATCTACCTAGATGTTGCTAGTATTCTGTTGACATGGACGACACTCGGGGTGCCGGGATTAGCCTTGGGCGAGGTGCAGAGTCATCGTCAGGGTGGGTTCTCGGGTTGGATGTGCTGGCAGCTCGAGTCACCCCGGGGAGATCGAAGTGGATGCGACGGTGACGAAAAAGAATCATCGTCTGCAGTGAAGATCCGGGGAGGCAGGTAGCGTAGCGCGTTGATGTGGGCTCGAGAGACTGTTTTGGGCGTGTGAGTGCCGGAGTGTGAGTGTGAGTGGGTGAGCAGCGTGCCTGCGTGCGTAGAACCAGGGACCAGCGTCAGAATCAGAATCCCATGACCACGGATGGGGTTGTACCATGGTATTACTCGATACACGTGTTTGCCCTCAGAGCTGGGTGCGGTGCGGCGTACCCCACTACCAATACCGGGCGGCGGGATCCGCCCTTGCTTGCTGGGTGGGGAGATAACCGTCTTGATTCGGTCGAGTTACACGGCGGAAACGTTCCTTCCCAGGAGGCAGAAGTTTGTGGTGGCAGGCACGGACTTTTGAAGACTTCCAATTTCGATTAAGCGTGCCCAGGCAAAGTCAGACTTCATAGAAAAGAGACACACATTCATTGCCTCCTAAGTCCTGAACATGATGTGCCCACGATGTGAGAACAGGCACATTCATATTCCAAACAGTCTAGTAGGTAGCACACACCTACCAGGTACCTAAGTAGGTTCTAGGTTGGGATTCAGTCTGGTCTGTTATCAAGTGTGTGTGGTTCAGCACGAGAGCCACTTCTGTTTCTCCAAATACCGTGCGGCAACATACATACCGTGCCGTGCCGTACTGTACCGTGCCTCGCCAAAGTGTACGTGAAAGCGAGCGTGCAGGGATGGTCCAGGAATGCTCAGGTGTGCCCGGTTGGTCGAGGTCACACCGTCGAAGGGGACCCCAAAGGAGATGAGGAAAGAGAGACCCTGAGAGAGAGAGAAATGCTCTTTCCAAGTGGGCGGGGCGGGCGGACAGACGGACAGGAGGAACCAGCCCAGAGGTACCTTGGCCGGGCTGCCGTTGCTGCTGCTGCACCTGCTCCTGGGTGCGGCCGTTTATTAGAGTTCTCCACTTTTAAACTCTACTGTCTCCCTCGAAACCACCCCAAAACTCCACGCCATGGATCAAGTTGAAGCATCCACCGTGAACTGATGAGTGAGTGTGCCTGGATGAACCGCCGACCTTGACCTCGGCCTGACCGCACCTTTGCAGGCTGTCTATACACTCAACCGTGGAGCTCAGCAGCAGGAGCAGATAACCCGAGCTGACCAAGACCAGCACACACTGCACACACCACAGCACACACCAGGCCTTGTCCACACTTTACTCCCCTTCCCTGCCCTTACCTTCGCTTCCCTTGGCTGGCCTATGCCTTGCCTCTACCACCTCAGTCTTGTTCACACCACCAATATTTCCAATCATTCACACACACTTCTCCCCCCTCATTCTTCTCTCTTTCCTTGACCCTCTCACACTCTTGTCTATCTCTCTGTGTTGTTGACTTGCATTAATTCTCCGGTCTCACTTGCCGCTCACTCAAGACCCCACGATTATCAACTGCAACTGCAACTGGAACTTCAACTTCAACTGCGACTCTTCTGCTGCAACTGGGACTGCAAAGTGGATTGCTGCACCCGGTGTTTGATCTTGGACGCGCCCACCAGCCGTCTGCACCACAGCTGACCTGAGCCGACCCGACCTGACATTACATTACATTAATCAATCATCTGCCTGCACCTGGAGCAGAATTGGGTAATCTGTGGCCCATCCCCATGCACCAACTGTGCATGCATAGCATAGTCCAGTATGTAGGTCCTCTTTTCTTTGTCCCTGTTTTGTTGTTCCCCTCTGTTAGTGCCGTGGCGCAAGGTAGTACTGCCTGCACTAGCAGCCCGTCACGGTGTTGACGAGATGATGCTGTGCTGCATTGCAATCCCGGTGCCCACTCCCACTCCCACTCCCACTTCCTGCCACTCCAACCCGGTCCCTCACACCCGCCAACCAGGGCCAACCATCCAGCCTGCCTACCAGCACCTCGCCCAGTCAAGTCCCCACTAACCTCGCCCGTTCCCCCATAGCACACACATAGCACACCACAGAAGCCCCAACCAGGCTGGCAGGCCTAATAAGTCCAGTCAGGTCAAGTCAAGTCAGACCAAGTCGACCAAGCCCAAGTCTGCCCAGTGCCTCATTCTCAAAGTCTCAGTCGCTCAGTCGGCCTGCATCTCCACAGTCGAAACAGGCCTCTCCCCAGTGCACCTGCACACGCACACGCACCCGCACTGCGACCCGCGACCGAGGACCGACAACGAGGCCAGTACCAGCAGGGTATAGCAGCGGCCGGCCCATTTTTGTTTTCGCTGTGCCCAGGTCGGCGTGACGGGCTCTCGTCCGCTCATCGTCCACCGTCTGCTCTCGACACTGCCTCCCTCAACCTGCTCTCCCCAGCTTTGCAGAAGCACAGAGACGTCACCACCAGCTATGTCTCGGGTCGCCGCATGCTGCTTGATGTAGCTCTGGGCTGTTCGTGCCAGACTCCTCTGTTCTGGCCGGGCTGTCGGTCCAGCCCTGCCTGCTGTGGCCCGCCAGCCATCGCTGCTGATTCCGCCGCCAACGACCTACTTATCGCCAGTCCTCCGTCCAACGTGCACCGTTTCCAGCCCTCCGGCCTGCCACTTCCAACTCCCTCCCTAGGCACGTCAATCATTCATGCGCTCTCTCAATACCGACGCGTTTGCCCTCACGGTTGCAGCTTCGAGGCACTCCCTGACGCCCCCTGAACGATCCAACCTACGAATTGCTCCGAATTTACCCTGCATTGTCGATTACACGAGCACACAGATGAGCTGGCCCAGGTTGGCGCTGTCCTCCAAACCCAGCCCCCAATGGATACAAATCCGGCACAGCTGGCTCCGCCGGCGGTGACGTCGCTGCGCGCCCAGACGGCCGGCGTCATGGAGAGGTCCCTCAGTCAGCACCAAAGGGAGAAGGACAGGGAAGATCTCAAGGAGGCTGCAGAACAGACCCTCAACGTCATTGTTGACCTAAACCTCGACGGTTCCATTCGCTGGGTGAGCCCCTCCTGGGTTGACGTGATCGGCACAGACGCCGCCCAGGCGGAGGGCACCCCCATATCCGATGTTGTCGTGAGCGAGCCGACAACCATTTTCACCGACGTGGTTGAGTCCATGAAGGAGGATGATTCGGGTAGCAAGTTCATCCGCTTCTCTGTGACGACGGGGCCCGAGTCGAAGCTACTTGCCCCCGAAGACGGTGCCCAGGACAGCGAACAACAGGACGCGGACGAACAAGAGGACGATGGACCACAGGTCGTCGATCTCGAGGCACAAGGCATCATGGTCCACGACGCTGGTGGAGAAAGCCACGTAGGTCACCCTGGGGAACAAATACCACAATTGCAAGCTAACTTGTATCCTAGGTTATGTGGATGATCAGACCATGGGTTGCGCCACGAGAGATCAAAATAGACCTGGACTCTGAGCTCGTCGACTCGCTTGGCTCTGGCGCCGAGATTCTTGCTGGCTATCTGACCCGACTCGCAGAAGTAGGATTGCAGGACCCTACCAACTACGACCCTCCGCCGCCTGTTCTCTGTCGAATCTGCGAACGCCAGATACCACCATGGTGGTTCGAAAAACACACAGATCTTTGCCTACAGGAGCATCAGGCAGAGATGGAGGTGCAGATGGCCCAGGAAAGCCTGTCAGAGCACCGCCATTCTATTGTCAAGGTTCTCGATGCCTTGGAGGCCCGAAAGAGTCGTTCGCTCATCGGGGAGCAGACGGCTCTCCCGGCAGCCGAATACAAAGGGATGCCCATTGGGCCTCCACAATCGAGCTCCTCGTCGCCCGGGACGTCCTCCCCATCGACCAGCGGTGCGCGATCCCGGGAGAGATCCTCGGGGTTTGGCCACGCGCGCGCAAGATCCTTCGCTGTTCGACGGCCACAGGCGCGCATCGTCGAACTGCTGTTGGATCTGTGCGACACAGCGATTGAGATTAGCACCCCAGCCATCAAGGAGTCCTCGACACAAAATCCGGGCGAATTTCGAACTCAATCGCCCCAATCCGAGTCGAGAATAGGTCAGGTGATGCAATGGCACTCTCCCAGTACCAACACTCTCGAGCAGGAGCAAGGTCTGGCGTTGTTGTGCGCCGACACAGAACGCATCGCAAAGGCCAAGATTGATGCCGTCTTCCGCCACAGGAAAATCATCGAATACGCGGAGCGGATACGCATCGAGTTTTCCATCAAGGTCCAAGACTCCATCGACGGTGCCATGCGACGAGCTGCTCGGATCGCTGCCGGGAGGATGAGCGACTCGACCGAGTCCGGGTCTGAGACCGGGGAAGAGGATGTCACGCCTGCCCAGGAAGAGGGCATCTTCCCTGGATCGTTCGATGCAGGCACATCCCTTGCCTTGGCTTTGGAAAACGCAAACCTGAATGATGATGTCGACAAGCGGCGATTCTCCACGGCCATCGACTCAACGCGGTCAAGCAGTCCGAAGGAATGCCCCACGCCTCGATCACACCACGGCACGCTAGGTGCGGCTGGGCAGGGCGCAAGAGAGTCACGCCGGGAATCTATGCTTCTTGAGAGTGACACGGGAGACAGTGAAGGCAGTGTGAGATCATCTTCGGTGGCTTCCCGGCCTCCTCCACGGACTGAATCACCGATATCAGAGTTCGGGGACTTGAGGCGACAAGCCAGCTCTCGGTCCCACAACCGACGAAGTTGGATTCTCCCTGGTGCCATATCTCCACGGAGACAGGAATCTCCATCTCGAGGTGCCCACCAACCTTCATCGCCCCTCAGGATCTCGAAACCACGTGGGCTTGGATTTCAACAAGATGGCATGGTCTCTCCAGAGCCGTCGCCAAAATTGCCCAACAGCGAGTTCAGCTCACCGATCGCTGTTCCTCAACAGCATCATCACCAGCACCACCATCACCATCACAGGAGACAGTCCTCTGCCGCAATATCATCATCAACGGGAGAAAACGTCAGGTTGCCGCCATCGCCGCGGCTCAACGGGGTGGGTGCCCCGCCTATGGCTCGTGCCGTTCCGCCTTCGATCAAAGACTTCGAGGTTATCAAACCTATCAGCAAGGGTGCTTTCGGGAGCGTCTACCTCTCCAAAAAGAAGTCCACCGGGGAATACTTCGCCATCAAAGTGCTGAAAAAGGCGGACATGGTGGCCAAGAATCAGGTGACCAACGTCAAGGCTGAGCGTGCAATCATGATGTGGCAAGGCGAGAGTGACTTCGTCGCTAAGCTCTACTGGACGTTCTCAAGCAAAGACTACTTGTATCTCGTCATGGAGTACCTCAACGGCGGTGACTGCGCCTCTTTGATCAAGGTGCTCGGTGGGCTCCCCGAAGACTGGGTGAAGAAGTACCTAGGTGAAGTCGTTCTTGGTGTCGAGCATCTCCACAGTCGAGGCATTGTGCACAGAGACCTGAAGCCGGATAACCTTCTCATCGATCAAAAGGGTCATCTGAAGCTCACTGATTTCGGTCTTTCGCGGATGGGTTTGGTGGGCCGGCAGAAGCGAGCTCTTAACAGTGGCTCAACTGAACCCGCCCCTGACTTGTTGAAGACAGGACCATTCGCAAGGTCGACATCCGTAGGGTCTTCTATCTCTCGGTCGACATCACTCGATGTTCATGCACCACGCCACCCATCATCACCTGGCTCAACACCGCAAATGACTCCCAGCGACTTCGGCCTCAGCCTCGGGCAACCATCGTATTTCAGCCTTGGAACCTCACAAGAGCCTCGCCGAATATCCAGCAGCCATCGAAGCGACAGTGGAGGCAGCGAGTCTCTGACCCACATGCTTGGGAACTTCACATTGAACGACAGTACCCAAAGCTCAACATCTCAGGCCGTCATGTCGCCACACGAGGGCAGTGAAGGGGGCAGTCCTTCCGTGGATGCCGGATCTCTGCGCCAAGCAAGCACGACGAGCACTCAAGGCAGCATGGACCAAGGAAAGGCCACGCCGCCTTTACCCAGCATGCCTCCCCCGAACTGGGCGTTGTTTGACCCGGAGGATACAAGTCGGCGCTTCGTCGGCACACCAGACTATTTAGCTCCCGAGACGATACGAGGCGAGCCTCAAGACGAGACCAGCGATTGGTGGTCGGTTGGCTGTATCTTGTTTGAGTTTCTCTACGGAATCCCCCCTTTCAATGCAAGCGAGCCTGACCAGGTATTTGAGAATATCCTGGCCCGGAGGATCCACTGGCCGGATGAGAGCGAGGATGAAGTGTCGCCTGAAGCAAAGGACCTGATCAACAAGCTACTATGCATAGACCCTCAGGAACGACTGGGGTCGAACAAGCACGAGAAGTTCGCATCTGGCGGAGAAGAGATTCGAAACCACACTTGGTTCCAAGGACTCAACTGGGAGACTCTGCTGATGGATGAGGCCCAGTTTGTGCCCCAGCCCGAGAATCTCGAGGACACAGAATATTTCGATGCTCGGGGTGCCACGCTGCAATCGTTTGCAGAAGAAATGGAGGACCAGATGTCTCCACAACCGAGCGGCCCTGTCACAGATTATCCAGATCGTCCGCACGACGCTTTGAACCGTGTCCGCTCACAGGTCAATTCGATGAAGCGAGGACTGATGCCTCTCCACATACCGCCACACGTCCGAGATCTCAAGTCCAGGAGACTGAGCGAGCCTATGGTCAACGATGACTTCGGCAATTTTGCTTACAAAAACTTACCTGTGCTAGACAAGGCAAACAAAGATGTCATACAGAAATTGCGCGCTGATGCCTTAGCGGCCCAAAACAAATCGTCGGCTGCCACCAGCCCGATTGGTATAAACCAAGTCACATCACCTGGTGGCGCCGGCCTCGAAGGCAGCCCCGTGTTGTCAAATCCGGTACATAGGACCTTGTCAAACGCCAAAGCCACACAGCGGCCCCAGTCACCATCGGGCTTGAGCAACTCGCACTCATCGCCGAGCCGAGTCTCGCAGCCATCATCGCCTCTTCTGGTGTCTTTCGTTGCTGGGCAAGAGGGAAGACGTAAGGCTTCCAGTAATGCTTCCAATCTGTCTCAACAGTCAAGCTCTGGTAGCTCACTTCAGCCAGGCAATTTCTTCGATGTGCCACGTGTCCCGCCGAGCCTCCAGAAAGCTGCTTCATCGGTGTCAGCATCCCCTGTCAAGGGCCGCGGTGCGCCACCACCACTTGCTCTGTCACCACAGAGGACAGTGACCACGCCTCGCCAAGGTAGTGGCCAATCGAGCGCTCGGTCGAGGTCACTTACCGTCGGCTCGCAGGAAGGGAGCCCTGTGGCCGCAGACCTTTTGGCCCACCACCGGAACCGTCGCAGTCAGGTCTTCGATATGTCACCTTCGTCGTCTGACAACGAAGGCGAAAAGGCTAACGCCGCCCTTCTCCGGGTCCAGAGGCGGCGCCACAGCTCCCGACGCCTGTCACAGATCACGTATGACTGTCCAACGTTCCGGCCGCTGGATGTTCTCATCTGCGAGGATCACCCCGTGTCTCGGATGGTCATGGAGAAGCTACTGGAGAAGCTGCGTTGCCGCACCATTTCCGCTTCCACGGGTTCTGAAGCTGTTCGGTATGCCATGAGCGATATCAAATTCGATGTCATCTTCATGGAGTTCAAGCTACCACAAATCAACGGTGCCGACGTTGCCAAGATGATTCGCGAAACCAAGAATGCCAACTCTCACACCCCACTGGTGGCTATCACCGCGTACCTGAAAGAACTTCAGGCACCCCACTACTTCGACTCGTTGATCGAGAAGCCCATCAGCTCATCGAAGCTGACCGAGGTCCTCACCCACTTTTGTCAGTGGAAGCCAGCGTCGCCCAGCCAACCCCACATGACGCCGATGTCGCTTGCCCGGCCTATACCGTCAAGCTTGAGGCAGGAGAGCCTGAAACTGGAGGATAGCCCTACCAGTGGTACGTCTTCTGGTTTTGCAAACCGGCCCGGCAGCAGCTTCCGTGGTTCTAGCCGCGAGGACTCGATTTCATCCAGCCTTTTTGGCGACTCAGAGTCAATATCGACTGATGATATTCCTGTCGTGATTAGTCGTAAGGCTACGGGCGATTGGAGCGAGCACGGCCTGGGAATTGATGTCACATCGGAGGAGCATATCCTGAGCTCGAGTGATCCCGCTAAAGGCATGCCCCCACTACGGCTCCAGACTAGTGCTCCGGGGCAGATCGAGCACGGACCCACAGCGGTGCCGGTAGCTGGCCCACAGCCACGTCGATCATTCGAGAGGCTGAGGGCAAAGCGAGAGATTATGGAGAAGAGACGCCTCGAAGGCAATACCGGCTTCGATTCCGCAGATGATGAAGACGAAGAGCTCGGCCTTGGGAACACTGGCAAGGCGGGCAGCCCTGGGCCGACTTCTGCTCCAGCATCAGTCCAAGCTTCGAAGCAGCACTACCGCAGCAAGTCGGTGCTGCCTTCATCGAAGCTCGGAATCGAGATGATGCGTGCAAACAGCCATGAGAGTAATCATCTGCCAGATGCCCCGGCTGCAATCGAGCTAAGGATGCAAGGTGTCTCCACATCTATGAACGAGGTCGAATGCCAGTCCCCGCGGTCTGGTCCAACCCTTCAGCCGCCTGATTTTCATACCGAAGGACAAGCTTTGAGTCCCGCTCCTGTAATCAAGGAAGAGAACGAGGAAGACGAGAAGACGGTCATCATCCACACACCTCCCCCGGGCGAAGCGGCCGAGCTAGCTGCGAAGGAGACAGACGAGGTCGAGGAGACACCAAGACCACCACCAGTCACAACCGACCGAAAACGTCGCCTTCCACGCTCGAGACTCCAGACGAGTCGGAACCAGCAGCTCAAGCTCAAGAGAATCCTACCGATGCGGCCGGACAGACTGTTGAGGGCGGCGGAGGGCGAACGACAGCTGACGACAGCTGACTATCCGACCATTGCAACACACAAGATCAAGCAGCCGGCGCGATTGCACAACCAGAAACTGGCGCCACCAACAAAAACAACACCAACACCTTTTCCTTGCGTTATTTGATTTCAATTGCGAACCATAGGCTCAGCGCGGCGTTCAACGGGCCTGGCAAAGTTTGATCCAAGTGTGTTGAAAAGGAGACTGCCGGCACTTTACTTTGTGTTTCCAAGCGAGTATCTTCGCTTGCTGAGGAAGAATTGCTGGAGGAGACTACGGGAAGGGCCCGGGTTGATCATTGGAGCGGACGGGTGGGTGGCCAGCTGAAATTGAGCTGACTGAGGCATTATTCTTTGCGCTTGTCCTTTTCTCTTGACCTCTTCAACACCGGCGTCTTCTCCAGGGGACGTGAAAAACAACTGCAAAAGCAGAAGCCAGACACAAAATACGCATACTCCAGTCCGTCCCGGCGTCGGCGTCATCGTCGTCGCTGCCGTCGTCAGCAGCATCAAAAGGCATTCGAGAGTGTATTCAAGGAACAAAAAGGCCTTCAGCTTGCAAAAGCGCAGCCGCCATGCAGCCAGCTCTTCTATTTGCGCCTTGGTCTAGGTACTTGCTTTTTCCCTTTGTTTCTATGTGTATCTTAACCTCACAAGCTTGTGAAATTTGTTTTTGTCGCCATTGTCCGGCATCCTTCAGCCTGCGGGGATCGTCCCGGCCTGGCCTGTCTGTCAGCTGTATGAGGTCACTGGGTCGGTCGGTTGGAAGGCAGATTTGATATACTTCGAGCTTTTTTCTTTTACTGGGCTGGGCAAGGTTTGGCCTCACATGCATGCATGCATACGCGCGTATACACACATGATCTTATTTGGGGCGCCGAAAAGGCGCGAGGGGGAGGACCGGGAGTACGAAAGATGAGAAGGAAGGCTGGCAGCGGAGCGACTGATGTTGAATTTGTATGTACGTTGTTGAAGCGCGGGAACAAGAGGAAAACAAAAAAGATGATTGGACAAAAACAAAACAAAAAAAGAGATGGGAAAGTTCGATCGATTGACCAGGCGTCTATCTAGATGGACGAACGGACACGGACGGACAGATGGGCCTAACAGGCTTGATGGATGAGTCTTGGCCGGCGCTCCTGCGGGGGGTTGGAATGAATATAAATAAGATTGGAAAGACATGCGTGTTGGTGTTGATGGAGTGATGTACGTGACTTGTGTGTGTGAAAGTGTTGCGAAGTGTGTGTGTGTACCATGTATGTCTATATGATGTGCTTGCTGTGATAGCTGCCCGGTGTCGGGCACTTCTGAACGGAGCCTTCATAGCCATTCCTGTATTAATGGCTGTTGAGATTGTAAATTTCGCCACGCGACCGTTGGTTTGATCTTGACGTGGATCTTTGCAAAAGGCCAACGTATCTTTCCTTCAACCTTTCAAGTTGCCCACGGGCGGATTATGTAGTTGGCTGACCTGAGGCATGTTCTTGATGACATCCTTGGAAGTCTTCTCGTGCCTCGATAATCCACCCTTAAATCATACCAACCATATTTCTCCCTCCTCAGCCGCTGCAAACTTACTCTCGACCTCAGACCCGAACAGCCTACCAACTCCCATCCTCTCGAAGTAGGCGCGATCTCCAGTCTCTCCTCGTCTGACTTGTCTGATGTATAACACTATTTCAGCAGTATCAGAGAATGAGATGATCCATCCTCCATTCTTTACCTCAGGGATGTGTGCTATTCTCAAGGCCAGAACGCGATCCTCTTTTGGGTCCTTTCCAGGTTGTTGATAATCCGGATGCTCCAAGGAGGCCCATCCGCGAATGACCTCCTCAGTGTTCAACCCTCCCAGCCCGGATATTGGTAGCGTAACCGCTCGCCAATGGTCTCTCTGCACGTCCGATTCGTGATTTGTGCACTTTGCTGCGATTGAAAAGTGCCTTTGGCTGTCGAACCGGGGCCCAATCTGGACGTCGATAAACTTGGCGTGTTCGAAGCAAAGCCCTACGAAACGATTCGAGTTCCCGTATTCATTGCTCCGGTCGCATGGCTCCAATGGCTTCCAGTCGTTGCCCGGGCTGGGATTTATAGGCCAGCCATCCGACTCTGTGCCCAATGGGATGACGTGCGCGGATTTGAGGGAGACACACCACACGGGATCTGGCATTTTCTTGCCTCTTCGAACAGCGCCAGTCCAAGTCACAACAGATTTTGAGTAAACTTCAAGATCAGGCCACTGCACCCTTGCACCGCCAAGAGTTGGCTGTCCGGTGTCGTCTAGAGTGGGTGAGCCCAATGACAACCATGACCATGTAGGAAAGCCTCGTGCTCGACAGGTCGGCTTTTTCAGGCCGTCGGATCTCTCCCACTGTAACTCTCGAACTATGTCGCCGAGCCAGATCCCACACGCATACATGTTGGAGTACTTAGCTTGGCGATCGGTTATGTCCTCAACAGGCCTGCCAACAGGCTTCGCTGACAGAGCCGACCCGATTTCTTTGGCGACTCCGGCCAGGGCTACAAGCCTGTCGTTCTCAAACCTCGTGATCTCAAGGCTCGAATAGACCGTAATCAGGTTTCTCCACGTATTGAACAGGGCGGCCCGTGACGCGGTGAGATCAAGTCCAAGACGGTGTTTGTAGCCGTGCTGCAAAAAGCCATGATTCTCATATGAGAATGGATCCCCAACACTAGTGATATCCCGCTGTGCCTGGAAACTGTCGATCTCGTCGTTGGTCATCACATTGCCAGCGATAGGCAGAGGTGGCAACTCCGCGCAGACAAGAAAGGGCATAAGTGTCGAAAAGCATAGGATGCGAGGGCTCAGTATCCACTCCTGGAAGACCCATCCGCGGTTGAGCAAGTCGCTGTTGATGATACTGTCCTCATACTCCTGCCGTAGCGTGGAACCTGGCAGACCTTGCAGATAGAAATGCCCTTCTTGCCTACCTTCCCTGTTTCGGTAAGGCAGACGACTGAAGCGCGGGATGGAAGATGGGTCCATTGTTGTCTGGTGGAGAAATCCTCCTCCTTCGGCAACTGTCCTGGTCGCGGCCACCGTGAGCCAGGCGTTCTGATAGTATCCGGCCATCATTGTTGCCTCGTTTTCCCAATCCTTGGTGTCCTGCTGAACAATGCAGATGGAGTCGATCCAGACATATTTGATACCCAGGCTGACGGCCAATGTGCCGACGTCAATGAAGAGATCGTTGAGCTTCTGATCGAGAGTCCAACCGGACCCACTCGCTACCTCATCCGATGTTGAGCCGGGTAGCCCATGCACTCTCCTCTCATAGTTATCCCCTGTAGTACTCGATGCTGCCGTCACTATCGCATTCCACCGGTGGCTGAGTATGATGTACTTTCCCCACAACCCCTTAGTTTCTCGTAGCCAGAATAGATGGTGGTTGGAGCCCGGCAGCTTCTGGAATTCCATACAACGACGGGGAAGTGGCGCGTAGTTCACATCAATCGGTTCCTGCTTTGATAGTGTCTTGTTGCAGTCTGGATGGTTTTGAGAGCACTTTCCATGCCAAGTCTTGACTGCTTGCACAACTTTCCCAAGAAGTTGGACGTTGGGTGTGACCAATGCACCAACGACGTCCTTCGACAGGTGTGCAGGTGTATCTGGAAGTCAAATTCGAATCGTAAGCGATTTTAATTGACATATACAGAGTGCTCGTGATATGGTTTGAAACATGTTTCTTACCCAGGTCTGCTGACACGTTGATTTCGAGGCGATGGAGTCGAAGTTGTGGCGATTGACTATCAAAAGGAGTCACAACGTTTCTTTCTACCGATGCAGTAACCCCGTAGATGCCCAGACCACCGCCCTCAACATCCGTCACATTGCGATCTTTATTTGCTTGTAATCGGATATACAGTGGAGAGACCATCCTATTGAGCCATGTCTGATTGAGAAGGTACCTGGATGCCAAGTTCTCAACCAGCAGACTACAGAAGGAGCAGCCTCTCTCTGCTGACTGCACTGCCGCTGACAGCGAGAGACCTCGATACGGGCATGGAGACTTCCCAAAAGCTTGAATGTCAAACCGCTCACATCTTGAACAGAGGGACTTGGTGCTGGTGTGCGACATTGCGGTCACAACATTTGAAGGCTTCCTGGAAGGGGCACAGGTCCAAGGAGCAAAAGTGCAAAGATCGGGTTGGGAGGTAAGGCTGTTTGTGTGTGTACATGTATGGCGCTGATTCATTCACTGGAGACCTCTCCGCGTTGTTGCAGCACCGAGGCTGATCTGCGATACTTGATGCTTATGCCGCTCATGTATGATGCCTGTTTAGTCGTTCGGTAATGCCTATTTTGAAATATTTTTCTTGATCTACATACTCTGTCTGACCTGTCGTCATCATATTTATGTATGTACGGGCAATTTTGTCTTACGGTATCAGTGAGCCTTTGTACACGTGGAACACCGTATCCTTGGCATATGCAGGCCATCAGGGGACATTTGAGCATCTTTGCCAGATTCAGAGGCGCCCAAATAAGCGAGTCTTATCGATAGCCCTTTCTGAGATTCACAAATCCTGATTGAGAGTGCCCCCAGGCGTTTTGTGTCTTCAGTCTTCACTGTCCATGGACTGTCCAGATTCCCATGCTTCTTTCCCTGAGAATTCAAGATCCCTGATCCAGTTCTTAGACTTCTTTTGCTACAAAGTATCCTGGAATCGTAATAGGTACGAAGTACACTTTAGTCTATGCGCCTTTCCTCCCACTGCTAACCTGTTGAGATAGGTGACACCATGATACTTCAAGGTGCACAGCCATACTGCTTTCAATCTCTTGTTTCTGTCTTAGTATTTGCTCATTTTGTCTATTTGGCACCTTTTGTGGCACTGTGCTCTGAGGACTTGGCATCTGTCCCACGTGCTTTGAGTGCTTTTACCTTCGTGTGGACCTATCTTTCTGACATATATCTTTGGCAATATTGGTTGCGTCCTGATTGGAGCCTTTGGGGCATTATATTAATGGCCGCAATTAATTTGGGTTTCTCGGTGGCTGGCTACTTGTCAGCCAAATCGCAAAGCCCAGAATCAGAACATATTGCAATGATTGTTGTCCTCACGGCTGGCATCAATATCACATTCCAGATGATTTCTGGAATATATTTATTCATCCTTCAGTCGAGGTCATATGAGCCTTTCGTCAAGAATACGGCTGTAAGGCCTTGGCGGAATTGGAGGAGACCGCAGATTCCAGCGCAAGACGCGGCATGTGATCAGCCTCTGAGCCGTTCCAGCAACGTGTTGCCACTGGATAGTGTCTACCAAATGCATGAACACTTTCGGAAAGAGGACACAGTAAATTTGTCACATATTTTCGCGCCGGTACGTCACCTAAGTGGCTGGGGAACACTCAGGCACTGCAAAGAAGTTAACAGCGCAAGCAGCACACGAAGATGACCGGCGGCCCGCAATTTGACCCCTTCCTCGGATATTGGTCAAAGTCCATACCATGGATTCACGTGGACTTCCTGTTTCTGCTTATCATTTTGTACCTGGTGTTGTACTTTCCACTCACCACAGTACCGGGCATCGTGTTTGCAAGCCGCAGTCGAAGCTGCAACGGGTACGTAACGTTTTTCATGTTTCTCACCCAGTTAATTCGGATGAGAAGATCCAAGTAACAATATCCAGACAATGCAAGCTGCAAATGGCTTTGCCTTTAGCCCTTGGATTGTGGGCATCTCTGCTACTGTTCTTATGGAGACGTTCGCAAGTTGGCTCCAAGGTATCGGTTATGAACGTGCGCCTTGGTACTCTCTTAATTATGACTTCTGCCCTCTGCGTTCTGGCTATGCTAGTGGAAATAGCTTATTCTCTTAGCGTGATGAGGAGTGGGGGTTACAACGGTCAATTTTTCGGGTTTTCAGCACTTGGCAGACTTGTTGCACTGATCATGTATCCTATGTTGTACTTGCCCTACAGGGCATTATTATGAAGTTCCTTGTCATTGGAGACGAGTGTGGACTTGTTGATTCCAATGAACCGGTCTCTACTCGTTCCTTGAGAACCGCCTCGTTCTATCTTTTTGACCAAACCAGAGGACAGCGTTCGGGATGAAGTAATTGAACCAGCAAAACCATGCCGGTGTCCTCCTTAATAAAATCCAACACCCTCTTTCTGGCATCATCCATCATCTCGCCTGGGTTCGTGACAGGGTCCACCCGCCAATCCTTAAACAGCGCCGCAATGGTCGCAACGGTCTCCACTTGCGAGAACTTCTTGCCAGGGCAGTCGCGCGCACCATCAGACCAGCTCAGAAATGTCCCACGGAGAGGAGAGATGAGCTCCTCGCTGTCGATATTCTGAGAGGCGGACACCGCTGGTTTGATCCATCGTGATGGGCGCCAGGTAAGGGAGTCCGAGCCCCAGTACTTGGGATCTGTTTGGGTAGACGCATGGCTCGGAACGACCATTGTCCTCGGTGGGATCACTAGAGTCTTCTCCCCCACCTGAAGCGTTGTAGTATGATCACCCGTCCACTTTGCCATCCCGACGGGCGTATAGAGTCGCAGGGACTCGAACAGCACGGATATGCATCGCTTCAGACGGGGAAAGTCGGCCTTGTAGTCCCAGTCCTCTTTTTGACGGCCGCCCAGGACATATTGGATCTCTTCATGGATCCAATCCTGCACCTCCGGGTTTCCGGCCAGGAAGTACATCACCCACACGAACGAATGGGCAGTGGTATCGTGGCCGGCAAAATTGAAAACGAACACTGGAGGATCGAGAGTAAGCTCACATATATTCCATCTGATGCGAGATAGAGTTGAACTTCTGGGAAGGCTGTTGCAAGCGCAACTTACTATTCCCGTAGATCTCGTCTTCGTTCAGACTGCCACTGGTCTCCTCGTGCGAGGCACGCACCAATGACTTCATGAGATTACGGTCGGAAGTTATGCCCCGGGAGGAGTTCTGTTTCTCTGTCTCGAACAGCTCCGTCATGTACCCCTGAAACGAGGTACAGGCAAGATGTAGCCTCTTGCAAAAGGGGGGAAGCCAGGGTTTGGCCAGGAACTTGGTGCCCAGAACCATGATCACGATACTGTTCTCGAGGATGGTCTGGAGCGCCTCCTTGTAGCTTAAAGAGCTTCCTCTCAATGCCGCCTGCGCCTCATGGTGCCCTTTAAACGGGTAGGATTTGCCGAAACCCGCTCGAGACATCACATTCAGAGAAACTGTGCGGGTATCGTGAGCGACGGTCTCAACGGATTTCCGAGAGCTCCAATACCGCCCCATCTCAGTGGCCTGGGTGATGCTCTCCTTCCAGACGATCTCGAAATTCTGGTCAATAAAGCAGGACCCCATTAGCTTACGCATCTTCTTCCAGTCCGCGCCTTGGGCCTGCGATCGAGCCTTGTCAGCAATCACACGAGTGTGCCAGCGTGGCCCCAGCGAGTGGGAATGTCACTCACGGTGGAGATATTAGGCCCGAAAACATCGAGCATGGCCGTGAGTTCCGAGTCGTGAGGGAAGTCATTGTTCCGCTTGAGCATACCCGTGATGATATCCGGGTTGCCGAGATAGAGCCAGTTCCTGGCCGGGGAGCACAGCACAAAGGCATCGCCCATCTCCTCGTGGGGCTTCCATCTAAGCGGGATTTCAAAGCCGAGGTAGTTGTACTTGGTGATGTTGTTATCACCGAGCCCGAAAGGAAGTCGCCTCAGCACAGATACGACCTGCTGGCTAACAAGTGTCCATAGTGGATTGATATGGTCGACGGGAATGATGCGCACCGGCACTCCGAGCTTGCGAGCGGCGAGGTAGTTACGGAGCAGACATATCGACGAGTGAAGGGTGTATGCAAGCACGAGCAACAGGACCACTCCGGCTGATGATGTGAGGAGCGCCATGGTCGGAGCACAGAGCTCGCGGCTTGTATCAACGGCCTGGTCTGTTTGGGACGGAAGGAGTCGGTGATACAGGTGTTGTGGCTATTCGAGTTGGCCAAAGGTGGAAGATGTCAGCTCGAAGGAAGTTGCAATTTTAATCACACGAGGTGCAAGTGCGACAGGTTGGCTGTTAGGCTGATCCTTCCCGAGCCGAGACCCAACGGTTGCAATACAGCTATCTAACATGCCGTACGGATACAGGCTAGACCAGGAATAGCGCGAGTCTCAATTACTAAGACTGAATGCGTGACTACATCCCCATCCCATCTAACTGATTAATCCATTACCAGGGGTGGTAGATCTCTCTGGCAAGACAAGATAAAGAGACTGCCAGCCATACGTCCGCCGCAAAACGCCAAGAGAGCCCTCATTACTCAATGTCCAGCCATCACAGGTTCAGCAAAATTCACCCAGAGAGAAACCTCAGGGCAATATTGAACGCACTAGTAGCAGTCTGAGCATCCTCAAACATGGCGAGGGCGGCCTGGCTGGCATTACAAGTGTCCGCAAGCCACTGGTAGATGAATCTACTCATGGAACTGATCTTGATGATGGGGATATGAATAAATCATTCTGGTCCACGGCCGCAAATGTATTAGGGCCCCTTCGAAAATCTGATCGTTGAACTCGACCGCTGGACTTGCGCAGTCGCCGATCAGCGGCTCAGAAGCAGAAGTTATTAGGCGGCGGCGGTGCACGCGTTCACTGATTAGATCAGTGTCAGGCTGAGCAATCGAAAGTTTTGGGAAGATGGTGCTGGGAAGAGAGGCACTGCCCTAGAAGAGGACGTGAGACACCAGGGCAAAGTATGCATACGCTGTTGGTCGCAGTCGGCGACGTTGAAGTCGGCTTCTCCACTGTTTGCGGTGCCGGCACAGGCGTTGTGCTGGACAGCACAGCTGCGCTGGACAGCGGCGCCTTTGTTCAAGAAGGTAGCGCCGTTGACCGAGAAGGGCCGGTCAGAGGCATCGTCTTCGTTGACTGGGGGAGCGGCGCCACCGAGACTACCCTTGAAGGTCTGCACGTTGCCGGCTGCTAGGACAGTGCTGAGGCCAGCGAAGCCTCCAAAGATGAACGTGTATTTCATTTTGTTTGAAAGTGTTAAAATGGCGACCTGGTGGATTTGAATGATGAATTGGGCTTGAGTGATTCCTTCACAGGTTTTAGACTGCATCGAGGTCCGCACTGTTAATGAGCGAATTGTCCAAATATGTTGATTTCTTAGGCGAGTCAATGCCAGTACTCATCTTCACATCTTCTTGCTTGGGGAATACCACACGAAAGTTGTCACTCGGACCTACGAGACGTGATAGTGAACATTTGAAGGGGCTCCGACTTGACGATCATACGTGCTGGTAGCAGCGGTTGGGCCATTTAGTTCGTCTCATGTTCCGAGACCTGCCAGACGTCCAACTGCAACCCCGTGACACTTTGCGGCACTATTTAGAGTTTCTTCCCCAATAATTAAATGGTGTTGGTGTGCTTAATATGCAGAGGCTTAAGAGTCTTCTACGAGTTAGTATATCATGCAGGAAATTCGAAATGCGGTCCGTGTTTCTGATAAGCTTTCGCCAACTTTTTTGACATCCATGTACATCTAAGTTCCCATTAACTTAGAAGCTTAATCGCCCTGGAGTCTCAGCAGCGGATCTGATTCGACCACGTGATTCAATTCACCGTTAGGTCACGCGAATGATATGTATGATACTCGCATTATTCATATTCGTGAAACATAGATATACGCTGAAACGCCTATAAATCTAATGTGGCAGTAGTGCTTGCACTCGCTTCCATGATTCGCGGCTCGCGATGAGTGAATACCAAGCATTCAGTTTAGGTCGCGAAGTGAGGGAACCCTCCGGGACTAGGCTTGGAAGCATTGCCAGCCACGGAAGGTTGAATATATCCAGGAGAGACAGGTGCTGGTATTTCTTAGCCCGTCGCCATGTCCGGCACGAACGCAGAGACTGACCTTGCCCGTAGTGTACCCACCATCGCTCAGGTGAGCCTCGTAGTAGCTCAAAGCCTCAATGTCGACGCCACTAGCGACAGGGAACTTGATCAAGTTCCGACTGTGATGCTAAGGACAGAGAATGGTGAACCCGAATGGAGACTGGGCGGTGAAGAGGTTACGAAGAAGGCATGCCTCCGGCTGTTCGCCATGTAAGTTAGTCTACCTCACGAGAGACCGGCCAAGCTCACGTGGAAAGGTACTTTGAGAAATACCATCACTTCTGTCCAATCTTAGACCCAACCAAACCTCCAGAAGAACTCCACAAAAAATCACCGGCGCCGTTCTGGACTGTCATTGGAATTGCCGCACGGCAAGATCGAGAGATGCCAGACCTCTTGGCCAGACTCAAGCCATCGCTGGAAGACATGCTTCAAACTATGATGTTCAACAATCCGACCTACGTTCCTCATGTCCAAGCAATGATACTGTGGGCTGTCTGGCCGCTGCCCAACCTCCGGTCGTGGAACGACAAGACGCTGCTGGTCATCAGTGCAGCTGTGCCGCATGCCATGCAGCTCGGGCTACATCGGCCAGGTTTTGAGGACGAGTACAGCAGGATGGGTTTCTTCGTGAGATAAAATCTTGTTGAGAATGAGCGGTCCGTCCAGCCTGCCTCGGCCCAAAAGGTCTTCCGAAGTGGTGCCTGGTGTGATGATCCCGATGAGCAAGAAGCCGTCCGTAGGGAAAGAACAAAGACGTGGCTCGCCCTGATCGCGACTTATCAGAGGTGAGTATGATGCAGGTCTTGCAAGACTTGGTGCTGATTCTTTTAGCGCTTACCTAGAATACGGGCATCTTCCAATGCTTTGTCCAAGTGACCGCAGCACGCGGCCAACTGTTGATCAGATACGGCAGGCAGATATTGCTCCGGAGCTCGTATACTACCAGAAGCTCAGTAATTTCATGCAATATTCTATGAAGGATATCGACGAGCTTGGACTGGTCCACCAGGGAAATGCGGAAGAGTTTTACATGAGCATGATGAAGCTAGAACGCCAGATGGCCGCGATCGAGATTAACATCGTCAATCCTTCATGGATGATAGCTCTGCGACTTCAGAGCTCGAAACTCTACCTGAGAATGATGTACTTTCTCGACGACGAACCGAGTGAAAGCCGAACCAGGCCTTGTTGACCCTGTACGAAACATCTTCGGATTTGATCTCTGAGTACATCCTGGGCCACGATGCCGCTTATGATCAACTCCCATCCTCGCCCCTATCCACGGTACGATGGATATTCTGCGCCGCTTTGGTGCTCCTGCCAGTCAGTTGCTCCAGCCTTGGTGCGAGAGTAAATAAGAAAGCGGCAAAACTCGCTTACAACGCCGCTGCCTTCGCTATACGCAAGCTTGCAGTAACTGACAAGAGCGGCAACGACTTATTACGCATACCAACTAGGCTTGCGGGTATATTGAGAGCTCTGTGGCGTAGAGCAGAGCGGGATTCCCATCTTTGCTCTCGTCCTCCGCGGTTGAGAGTAAAGGCCAGACTGGGCAATAATCTCCAGGCTGACTGTTTAATGCTTTTGCGTGACTACAGAATGGCGGAACTGGGCGGCAGACCAACACCGTTCGAACAGGGCACTGAAGGGACACCGTTATCTGGGGATTCCTCCGTGGCAAACCCGGCCGAGGTACTATGGCATGACGATATGCCTCTGCCCTTCGATATGACTCAATATGGTTCCGAGACTCTGGATCTTGATTTGGAAGATTTTTTGAGCTCGTTGGGAGACTTTTCACGATACACTTCCTGCTTCTATTCTGAGATTGCGAGACTATGACGCCGGTCTAAGGCCGTCTAGTGATTTGCTGTGCAAAGATTTCACTTATAAAGTCATATCTCATAGTATGCATGACGTGTGTGACGACTGAACTCTGAAGAACACTCATATTGTACTTGCAGATGGGTCCGTGTTTATGTCCGTACATAGTATCGATATGAGCCTGTTCGACTCGCTGTTGTGAAGCCTTTACTAGACAGCAACAAGTATCGGCCAAGAACCATAAGTTTCCAGATTTTCCGCGCATTGCGATTTTTGATACGATGCTTCAATACACTAATACATCTTCAAGCTATAATACTAATCGCCCGGGAGTCTCAGCAGCAGCTCTGATTCCACAACGTGATTCACTTCACCCTTAGGTGTCAGATTTTGCCGGAGTCACATTTCCCCTGTGAAAGACACTTATGTGCTGATTCATTCTGTAGACCATTATATAGTAGTACCTATAGAGTGAGTGTGATCCAGTCTACATGTCCTCAAGCGTGTCAGACAAGTCCCAGCAGCTTGATCATCCGAGTTGCACTTTCATACCGCCCCTCTCGAGAAACTCTAACTCGAATGGCTCAGCCGGCGTCGCGCTCGTGGTGACGCCGCTGATACGCCCTCTTCGTGTGCCTTGATAAGCCATTCTGGCACATCGTACGGCGTGTCCCAACTGTGACGTTGTTGCCACTCCCGATCGGCCTTGATCCTCGCGGCCAGATCCAAGATAGTGTCGGAAACTGGGTAATTAGAAGTGCTGTGCCGTCTCTTTGGCGGTGTTCTGCGGCAGGCGGCCGGGCTTACTGGCGGCTCGTACCGGCCTCCCTTCCAACAACCCTGCCACAGCCAGCCCTCCGCGATTCTGCCGATTCCCTTTGGGAAGTGCTCGTCAAGTTTAGTTCGACCTGCATCCGCATCTTCAACGTCTAAAAGGAGGCTCCTGAAAACTCGCTCGTGGTGGTGCTTCCATGGGTACCCCGCGAACGGGAGAGCGACTAGCGGTTGTGGTGCGGGCAGGGGCGTTTGGCCCCTAAGGGCCTTAGATAGGCAATTTTTAGCTTTGGAGGTAAACTTAAACCTATTTAAGCAATACACACCCTGAATCCCCCAACTTGCTTGCACTGTTTATAATGCAATATATCTTCTTATATGGGTTAGAGAGTTTTATAAAGGTTTTGCTAAAACTTGCATTAAGAGAGCTTATCCTTTAATTTAAATCCCGGAATTAAAGTTAAATGTAAGCTAAAAAGCTTATATAGCGAGAATAAACCGACTAAGCCCTTAAGTTTGAATGGAGCCGGAGCCTATATTATTAAAATAGCGCCGCGCTAAGCTTGCGTTATTATATTAACTAAATTATTAAATTCCTTAGATTTGCTTGCCCTACTTTCTTTATTTTCGCATATCTTTAAGTTAAGGTGGTAAAGTTTTGCTTAGCTAGGTATATACCCTTTCCTTAAGCAGTAGATTTGGATCCTAAGATTGCGATTTAGGGGGTAAATTAATAAACTAGTTGTGCTTGCTATATGCCCTGGTTCGCAACTTCCTTAGGGATCTTATTGCCTTATTAATGCTAAGGGCGGAGCGGCCTATATTAATAAAGGAGCATAAAGCATATTAAGAAGCTCTATTAGGGTTTAAGATATTATTAAGGGAATGGATAGGAATAAATAATCTAAACTTTAAATTATTATTACTAAATTTAAATTTAAAACCTAAAAACCCTATCCTAAAGCTTACTTCTTTATCGTTATGGGAAGAACTTTAAAATTGCTTAAACTTAAATGATTCCTTTCTTAGCTATTTAATATTAAATTATAATAGCTTGCCTAAATTTAAAACCCTTTTATTATATTTAATAAAATCCTTAAATTATTTTATTATATCTCCTTCTTTTATTAATACCTTCTTAAGACTTTCGGGAGAGAGCTTAGAGGAATATATTAATGATATGAAGTTATATGGCATAAGGGTAGCACTTAATAATAAGGCCCTTAAAGTTTAAGAAATGGGGGTAGCTTTCCATTCCGGGTTAAAGGGTATGGCTAGGATTAATTAATACTTAAAATTTGCTTTAGATAAGCAAGCTTGGCCTAAAGTTTCCACTCTTTTTAAGAATTGCTTTTAAATAAGAATTATTGACTTAAATCGTGGAGTTGAAACTTAAGTATATACCTTTGCTTATAAGTTTGCGGAGTTGATTTTAAAGTATGTATATTGGGCTATTAAGCTGTTTTATTAGTATAAGGGAGAATAGTTTTAAGAGTTAATTCGCTGGCTATTTTCTTGCCTTTTTAGCTAGGAGGGAGGTAAACTTTATAATAAGGGCCGGAGGATTTAAGAGTTAGTTATAACTTAATTATATATAGATAAGAAGATAAGGAGTGGTAATGTTTTGGTTAAAGAATGTATATTTAATAAGGTTTGCTAATGCATTATTAATTATTACCTCCCGCTTAATTTTAAGATAAACCCCTTTTTAGAAAATAAGGTAATGGATAAGGCTTTTATAAACCGGGATTAAGTTATAAGCTAAATAATAAGTATTATAAAAACAATACATAATTAAATTATAAAGATATAATTAGCGTTAAGCCTATTAGCTTATTTTATTGTAAATTAAGGATTTAATTATAGTACTTAATGGGGTATAGGATAATAATTATAAATTAAAGCGATAAGTTGGGGATAGAACTTAATAGGTAGGCTTGCCTATATCTCCTTGGGTTGGAATAGTTAGGCGTAGTAACCATTAATCCGTGGTGGCTATGCAAGCCAGGGCTTTATGTAAGGAGGATAAGGTGGCTGCAGTACCTTTTACTCCTGGGCGGAAAGTTGGGGTTTTATGTGGATATGCTATAATTATAGTAAGGAAGAATATGGCATTTAGGCTTGCCTTTATCTTAATTAATTATTTAATTGGATTAATAAGATTAAGTTAAAGATTAAGGCTGGGGAGCCTATTCTTAATGATTTGCGCCCCCTTAGATATGCGGCCTAGGCTTAGGCCTGGGTTATGGAAATACCCGTTAAAATATTACTGCTAAAGGATCCCTTGGAATTAAGGGAAGCGATAAGTGGCGTGCCTAATGCATGGGAGGCGTGAATTTAAATGGAAAGGGAAGTTTGCTTATTGGCGGCTAAAAATAAGTAAATTTGGATTAAGGCCTTGCTAGGAAATAATAAGTATTTATATAAGGCTTATTAGCCCGCTACCCTACTTATGTTAAGAAATGCGATATGACTTAATTCCCTATACTTGGCAAGAGATAAGAATTTGAAGGTAAAGAAGCGTTGGGAAACCTTAATAAAGCTTAAGAAAGCATTTAAAAAAACCTTAATAAGCAAGTTAAACTAAAAGGCCCTTAAGGAAATTATCCCTATTTAAGAGATTAATGAATAGGATGGCGATAAATTTAACATTAAGTTTTTATTGCAAGATATAAAAGTTAAGTTAAGTTTAGCTTAATTCTTAAATTGGTCCCCCTTATTAAGGACCTAGATAATATATAAGTTGGGCACCTAGTTTAGTGGATGTTAGGGATATTAATTTAAAGGGAAGAAAGGCAAGAGAAAGGTTGTAAGTGCGGCTAAGAAGCTGATATATTATAATAAGTCCCTCCTTAAAATTAAGACTTTAACTTTGGGGTATATTAAGGGTAATATGGCCGGCATTGATATGGATCGGCTTATGGTAAATAACGGTTCCTTGGGAGAATTAATTAAATTAAAGATAATACAGCGCCTTAACTTAGTTATAAGGAAGGTTAAGCGGGAAATATACCTTAAGTTGGCTAATGATTTAGTAGCCCTTATTTGCCATTATATTAATATTCCCGTTGTAATTAAAGGGATTTTAATTATATATTAAGCTTATATTATTGGAAATAATGATACTTATGATATGGTATTAAGTTAAACTTGGTTGTAAAGAAATTAAGTAGTTATTAATTATAACCTGGGTATGTTAACCTTAAAGGGTTAAATGGGTATTAAAAGCGTTATAAAGTTTGCCGGGGTAAACTCCTTAGCACTTAAATTGCCAAAACTAAACTAGGAGGGCTTAAAAAAAGGTAATAAAGGTAATTCCTTAAATAATAAGAGTGATTTTTTAAATGGAGATAATAAATTCTTAGTGAATTCATGCTATATTAAGTTAATGGCCCTCTTAGTTAATATGGAATTAATGGAAATGTTGGAATATAGTAAGGATGCTAAGATATAGGATAATAATAAGTCCTTAATATAAACTTAAAATAATAAGGTAAAAAATGGATTGGCAACCTTTGGCTTTGGGAAGGTTCGCTAAACCTAATTTATAAAAAGGGGCGGAGTATTTTTAAATGCGTTTAGTTTATAAACTTA